CCAAAGTGGGGGGATAGAGGTTCTATTTATACGTTTTTGTAGTAATTTATTAGACTATTTTTGTACTCATAAAAATCAGCATTTCGTGCCTTGTCCTAGTATTGAAGTCAATAGCGTCACCAAAAGTCCATCATTATGGACGTCAATAACGATCACTAAAAGTACGACACAAATGCAAATGCGTCATATCACAAAGCACGACGCAAATGCGGATTCTTCCATAAACCCAGAATGGGGCTCAGACGAAAAAACAATCACAAATTATTCAAGCCTAAAAGTATGATGCAAATGCAAACTCGTCGTACATGTTGGGATGGTTATAATCCACACTAAGTGGGTATATTTATAGTCTGTACAGACTATAAATATACCCACTACTATTTTTATATAGGGATAGTTCTATATCTATAGACAGCACATGCAGACAGGAATAGAAAGGGTATAACTTATCCAAGTAAATTTAACTGATGATAATCATGGATAATCACAGTGAATTTAGTATTAGTATTAGTATTAGTGAATTTTCCAGATGATTTTAGCCATCTTGCCTAGGGTCAGTGTAGAAAATTCAGTTGGAGTGTATCACATTACACATAATGTGTGCACATAACTTTGAAATTTTTATTTTATATATATACAAAATAAAGTTAGTAATTTTACAAAATAAAAAAATTAAATATTAATTATTCCTCTTTGTTTTTTTACTCATATCTTTTAAAAATCAAAGTCATCAATTTCTGGGCCATTTAATAAAATCATTAATTGATGATCTGTCTATATATGAATCAAGCAAATACTACATAGCGATTGGTGGGGAAAATTGACAAAAAAAACACTAGTCAGTAACCTTTTATAAAAAAAAGTTACTATACTTTTGTCTTGCAAGAAAAAATTTTTTTGTGTATATAAATAAAATAAATCTCAAAGAACATATTTATGTATTTTTTATTGCCTTTAATTATGTAAAAAAAAAAAATTTTTTCTTTGTATGTAGTGTTGATTTTTTGGGTTTTGATATTGAAAAAAAATCTGATTTTTCTGTGTAACTTTTATAATTTCTTGTATTAATTATTATTTTTTTTTATAATAAATTGATCGGCATTTCTCTGATTCATAGGCAAATCATCAATTAAATGTTCATCTAATGTATTTAAATGCATTCTATTCTTTCCTCAAATTATTTTTAATTAATTTCATTTGAGAAAATTTTCTTTCTACATGAGCATTAGAAAGAGGTATAAGTAGTGCTATTTTAACAACTAATACTATTGTTGGATAATTAAAAGAAAAATCATCATCAGTATCCAAAATATGTTGCCATAATTGAATAAAATACATTTCTCTATTATTATTTTTATAAATCTGAATATAGTATTTAACCAAATTCCACTCTTGTTTAAGTCTTTCTTTATCAAATATTGCATTAAATTCATTTTCATTTGCAAATTTATTTTCTCCATAAAAGTTACCTAAAAATTCTATTTCTTGATTTCCATATAAGACAAACTCTCTGTCATCATCTGGAAGTTCTTTTAGATCAAAAATACTAAAGTATTATATAATTCAAATTCTGGAAATCTGTTCTTAATAAGGTTTCTGGTCAAAACTGCTTCTATTAGTAGCCGAAATTGCCCAATACTTTGGGCAAAAATTATTTTTTTATAAGCCCAAACTACTTTTTGTTATTAGCCGAAATTGGGTGAAATTATTTTAAAGTTGTTCAAGTTAAAACAAGTTGATTCATATAGTTTTTTAATGCCCATGCTTATAGAAAATATTGAGAAGCCCAAATTGCCCAAACTAGTTTGGGCTATGAGAAAACAGTTTGGACCAGAAACCTTAGTTCTTAATGGCATCAATGATTGCAATTGAGTATTCTCTAACAAATGATGGGATGGAATTATAGTTATCTTCTAAATATTCTTTGAATATTGTACCATAATTTGGTGAAATCTCTTCAGAACCTATAAATTTAGTTTCAATTGTCTTAATTGCAATATCAAGTTCTAATTTAAAATGAGATATGGATAAATGTTCCAACTGGAATGTATTGATTAATTTCTTTAAAATATTTGTTAAATCAGCAAGATACATTGTTGTTAAAATAAAAGTGTCATCTAATAAAATTTCTGCAAGTTTATCCCCTTCAATATATCATTCAGAGTAGACAATACAGATTTCATGATTTATGTAAATTACTCACGGAATTTGAAAATGACAACCACCTAGTATCACACATATTTAATACTACAAGTGATGGCTCTTCATTTATTTCCTAATTATGATGAAGGTTATTAAAAATTAGGAATAAATAAATGAATAAAATACAAATATAATTACCTACATCAACTTTAATATTGTTGTCTTTTATGAGATCATTAGTGCTGATCAATTTATTTTAGTATAGTACGATGCAAAAAGTAGATTAAATCACTACATAGTAAACAAATCT